TTTTTTTTTTTTAAAGATTTTATTTAGTTGAAAGACAGAGTTACAGGGAGAGGCAGAGAGCCAGGAGCTTCTTCCAGGTCTCCTACGAGGGTACAGGGGCCTGAGGACTTGGGCCATCTTCTACTGCTATCCCAGGGCATAGCAGAGAGTTGGATCAGAAGTGGAGCAGCCAGGACTAGAACCAGTGTGCATATGGGATGCCAGCACTGCAGGCCAGGGCTTTAACCTGCTGCGCCACAGCGCTGGCCCCCGACATTCACTCTTTCATTCAGCACACACACATGGAGAATTGCTGTGCTGACGATACAAGAGGAAACAAGACAGAGCAAAGAGTACATAAACAGCACCCAGAAAACACCAAGTGTCAGATCACAAAGATGAATCTATGTACTCAGCAAGGTGAGCTACAGACTGGGAGACGTAGAAATTCCCAAATACATGTTTCGAACTCCTGTGGATGACCAGCAGGTAAACTCTCATAGGAAAATGGGCAAATCACAGAATAAAAATATAAAGCATATGAAGGGGCCGGAGCTGTGGTTTAGTAAGCTAAGCCTCCACTTGCAGTGCCGGCATCCTGCCAGTTTGTGACCCGGATGCTCCTCTTCCAAACCAGCACTCTGCTTAGTGGCCTGGGACCGCAGTGGAAGATGGTCAAAGTGCTTGGGCCCCTGCACCCACGTGGGAGACCCAGAAGAAGCTCCTAGCTACAGCTACTGTTGCCATTTGGGGAGTGAACCAGTGGATGGAAGACCTCCTCTCTGTCTCTCACTCAGTCTGTAACTCTGCCTCTCAGACAAATAAATTTTTTAAAAAAAGCATATGAAAAGATGTTTGGCCTCACTAGCAATGAAGGAAATGCACATTGAAGCCACAGTGAGATACCAGTTCTCAGGAATGGAATTAATAGGATTTTTAAAAGTCTGACAGTTCGAAATTTTGCCAAGGATGCTGAGAGACAGGGACTTGCATCAACTACTGCTGTAATTTGGAACAACTAATTCGACCAGCAAGTGGGTAATAATATCTAGGAAAGGTGAAAGAGTACATATCCCTAAATCCAGTATTTCTATACACAGGAGCACACCCAAGGAAATACCCAAAGCAAGCCCAGGAATCTAAGGAAATATGTGCAAGAATATTCAGGACAGAGCCAGCGTTGTGGCTCAGTGGGTTAAGCTGCCGCCTGCAATGCCAGTATCCCATACAGGTGGGTGCCGGTTGGAGCTCCAGTTGTTCCGCTTCTGATCCAGCTCCCTGCTATGGCCTGGGAAAGCAGTAGAAGATGGCCTAAGTACTTGGGTCCCTGCACTCACTTGGGGGACCCAGAAGAAGTTCCTGGCTCCTGGCTTTGGATCTGTGCAGCTCTGGCTGTTTCGACTATCTAGGGAGTGAACCAGCAGATGGAAGACCTCTCTCTCTCTCTCTCTGCCTCTGCTTCTCTGTAACTCTGCTTTTCAAATAAATAAATCAATCATAAAAAAAAAACCTATATAGGTAAGAGCAAAACATAAGAAATTCTTCCCTAAAAACAGTTTCCCAAATTTAAGGGAAAAACATGCAGATCAAACGGGAAGTGAAAAAGAGGACAAATCATACAATGTTAAAAATAGAAGTGAATACTATACATAGTTATAAATTAATACATTTTACAGCTCAAAAAGGCAGTTAAAGCTAAAGCAGAAACTGTAAACTGACATAACAAAAAAAATCTAGACACTTTAATAAATAAGGAAAAATTATAAAGTTACTGGCAAACCACTCAAATGAAGGGATCAGGTGGTTTTCTTTAAGTCTGCTCAGTGGGCCGGCGCCACGGCTCACTAGGCTAATCCTCCGCCTTGCGGCGCCGGCACACCGGGCTCTAGTCCCTGTCGGGGCACCAGATTCTGTCCTGGTTGCCCCTCTTCCAGGCCAGCTCTCTGCTGTGGCCAGGGAGTACAGTGGAGGATGGCCCAAGTCCTTGGGCCCTGCACCCCATGGGAGACCAGGAGAAGCACCTGGCTCCTGCCTTCAGATCAGCGTGATGCGCTGGCCACAGCGCGCTGGCTGCGGCGGCCATTGGAGGGTGAACCAACGGCAAAGGAAGATCTTTCTCTCTGTCTCTCTCTCTCACTGTCCACTCTGCCTGTCAAAAAAAAAAAAAAAAAGTCTGCTCAGTGGACGATTTCTGTGTAATTAAAGGTGTTTTGGAGAAGGGCAGCAAATGCCACAATTGAACAGGTCAGCTGGGTCTCATGCCAGCATTAATATGAAGCCCTACTTGTCACTCAACAATGTTCAATCAGTCCAAACCAGTTAACCACACGGGTCACCCTACCTGATCCGCCTGTTACAAGGACTAAACAGCTCAGCACACACAAATCCCCCACCCCATCACCCAGCCGTGCTGACCACAGGCGCTCTCTCCCTGTTCCACCATCAGACAGAGGAAAGAAAACCCAAAAGGACTTCTCTCACTGTGCTTAAAAATAAGTGTCTCTTCTAAACCAAAAGTCATTAGTGAGGCAGGCATTGTGGCATTGCCAGGTAAACCTGCTGTCTGTGATGCCGGCATCCCATATGGGCACCAGTTCAAGTCCCAGCTGCTCTACTTCCAATCCAGCTCCCTGCTAATGCACTCGGGAAAGCAGCACAGGGTGGCCCAAGTGCTTGGGCCCCTGTCTGTACCCACGTGGAGACCTGGAAGAAGCTCCTGGCTTCAGACTGGCTCAGCCCTGGCCATTGAGGCCACGTGGGGAGTAAACCAGCAGATGGAAGATCTCTCTCTCTCTGTAACTCTGCCTTTCAAATAAATAAAATAAATCTTTAAAAACAAAACAAAACAAAAAAATAAAACACAAGCTGGCATTTTGGCATAGCAGGTTAGGTACTGGTTCATGTGTTAGCCAAGCCACTTCTGATCCAGCTCTCTGCTAAGTGGCCTGCGAAGGCAGCAAAGGATGACCAAAGTGCTTGCGCCCTGCACCCACACAGGAGGCTCAGATGAAGCTCCCGGCTCCTGGCTTCTGCCTGGCCCAGCTCTGGCCATTACAGCCATTTGAGGAGTAAACCAGTAGATGGAAGATTGCTCTCTGTCTCTTCCTCTCTCTGTTACTCTTTCAACTACATAAACAAATCTTAAAAAAAAAAAAAAAAAAAAAGGGCACAAAAAAAAACAAATGATAGGGTTTAAAAAAAAGAGAGAGATGGTTCTCTAAAAATATATATACGTTTACATACGTGTGTGAGTGTGTGTGTGTGTATGTAAATTTTAACAGGGAAGAAGAGAGGATGATAAAACTTAATTTTGAGAATGAAGTAAGACTTCTTTCTATGTCTGTCTGGCTACTGGCTAATGACCTTCATGAACTGGCTCAGAGTCAGCATCTCCCAGCAATCCACAAATAGGATGTGCTACAACCAAGGTGTGGGAAGGGACCTGTGACAGATTGAGCCACGTCTGTTTCTCACGTCATCACCTATACCTGCTAAAAAGTCCTTTTTCATCATCATATTCCTCCCATACACGTGTAGTTAGGAACTGATTTTAATGATGAAAGAATGGGAGATTGAATGATCTAAATAGAAGCTGTTAGTACAGCATAGTAGTGAGACTGTGGATGAATTTATTTGGTTTAACTTCTTTTTTTGATGCAACGTTGCTTGTGTACCACAGAATAAAATATTAAAAACCCCTTAGTTTAATTATAATGTACAGAGTACTTAGAATGTTATGGGAGGGGCTGGCACTGTGGCAATGCAGGTGAAGCCACTGCCTGGGGTGCCAGCATCCCATGTGGGCCAGTTCGAGACCCAGCTGCTCCACTTCCGATACAGCTCTCTGCTATGGCCTGGGAAAGCAATAGGAGATGGCCTAGGTCCTAGGGCCCCTGCACCCTCATGGGAGACCCAGAAGAAGCTCCTGGCTCCTGGCTTCAGATTGGCGCAGCTCCGACCGTTGCAGCCAACTGGGAAGTGAACCAGCGGATGGAGGATCTCTCTCTCTCTCTCTCTGCCTCTCCTTCTCTCTCTGTGTAACTCTGACTTTCAAATAAATAAATAAATCTTAAAAAAAAAAAAGAATATTATGGGGCTACGTTAAGAAAAGCATTTTTTTGATAACCCAGGTTTGGATTAAGATATTTAAATTCTGTAACAGGTTAGGTCCTAGATATTTCAGGTACAGTTATTTCCTGTAGGCTCTAAGGTCACTAGTTACTGTGAGAAATCAGTAACTAAAGGTTTGTGGAAATATTTTATGATCTGCAAAATACCAGCTGCAAGTGAAACTTTATAATGCTTTAAATAAGGCCCTACGCTTTCTAGAATATCATGGGAAGAGGGAAAGACAGAGCCCTGCCCTTCCCCTATGAGACCCAGTGGGCTCCTCCAGATGCGTGACAATCCAAGTGTCGCACTCTCAGTCCCGTCAGCAACAAAAGACACCAAGCATTGTGGGAGGTGTGAGCACCACAACAAGACAGATGACCGACCTGGCCCTCCAGGAGCCACAACCTGGCAGGGTGCCTGGCAGAAGGGAGAGGACAGTCAGATTCTGGTTGAGTGTTCATCCATGTGGGTGAGCTAACATGGAGGCAGGCAAAGAAATGAGCAACGTTTACCTAGAAGAGAGGCTTCACCGAGCATGTGGAAACAGGCTCCTGAGACCGGGAGCTGCTCTGCCGTGGACACTGCAGGGTCAGATCTGACCAGCAGGACACTCAGGCACGGAGGTGAGGGGGAAACCTCTCGGATGACGTGACTGGGGACCCTACTATTCCATGCCAAATGCAGAAAGCAGAGTTATGGAGGAAAGGGTCCTGAGAGGCACCAGCTGCCCCAGCAAATGAGTGCCAGGGTTGAGCAAAGCATGCTGGGACAGAAGTGCCGACAGGGTCCTGAGGGGAACAAGAGATAAAACATGCCCACTTCTCAATGCACAGGCCTGGTGGTTGCTGAGCCTCACGGCCCTCGGCCAGCCGGGTTCCTCCTCCTGCCTTCCCGTGTGTGATTCTTACCAAGACAGAAGCTTCCCGAGCCATCCTCTGGGACCCATTCTTCCCCTTTTCCCAGCTGAGAAAATATGTCTGGCTTGGCTCCTAAGAGTCCTGTTTTCGAAGAAAGAGAAAAAAAAAAAAAAGCACTATATCAGTTCACGACAGAGGCAAATATCACAAGCGGGAGCCAGAGAGACGGCTCGGGCTGACACGATTCGTTCCTACGCCCCTCTCCCTTTCCAAGGGAGCAGGGATTCGACTTCCAGTCACTCATGCGGAACCTGGTGCACTGGGACTCAAAAGGGGCCTGGGGATGTCACAGAGCAGTGTAGCCTTAAGGACAGCATCCTCGGCTGGCCCGCTGCCAGCCCAGCTTTTGTCCAGCAGCAGTTTAAGGGGCCCAGGGAGAACCCCGCAAGTGCAGGTCTAGGCTCCTAGGCTCCCCGCCTTACCCAGAGAGACCAGGTGGCTGTAGTTCTCCAGCATCACGTCCCGGTAGAGGGTCCTCTGGGCAGGGCTCAGGCGGCCCCACTCTTCCTGGGTGAAGAGCACGGCCACGTCCTTGAATGTCACCAAGCCCTGCAAAAAGCAACGTTGTTCTCACAGACCAGGGGCTACGCTTCACAAGCTTTCTCTGGGACCACCAGCACACAGGGAGCTGCTGCCCCCGGGGGCTGGCTTTGTACCAGGCTTCTTCCTGCTCTGAAGAGATGTAGATGATGGTGGAGATCTTCACGTTGGCTGCTCGTTCAGCCCATCTCCTGCAGGCTGCCCAGTCCTGCTGCCTCCATCCTCATCCAGTATGGCCCCATCCTACTCAGGTCTCCTAACCACTCCTAGGTCACCGGTGAGCACCCATCAAAGCGCTGGCCCATTTCCTGGTGAGTGCTGTCAGGCCCCAGCTGAACTGTTAACTCCAAGAAGGTACATACATTTCTACATGTGCCTTGCCTTCCCAGCATCGAGAACACAGCACCTAAGACAGTTACCTGCTGCATAAGGCCATTGGGGCCAACAACGGCCAGCACTGTCGCTCTGTACAGTGGGACCTCGTGCCCCCCGACTGCCACCCAGCCCCTGGCCTGAAACTCGGAAACAGTCTCCTGGTACCTGAAAGCTAACACGTCAAACTAACTCGTTCTGGTCTTCCCAGCCAGCTCAACGGCCAAGGGAACCAGAGCACTCTGAGAAGAAGGAGAAACAGAGCTCATTATAGAAAGAAAAGGCCTTAGAGAAGGGGCTTTCGAATTATTCCAGACCCCACTTGCATAGCCAGAGTCCAGACTCCTCAGGTATTCTTCCCATAAGCCTTAGCTTACGGTAGTCTGGATTAGGTTTCTGCTGCCTACACCCCAAATGTCGGTACACAAGAAACACTTGCTCAAGTGCAGCCAGGAACCCCTCTGTCCCGGCCCATTGTCCCTGCCTGGACCTCTAGCACCCCTGCATCTCTGATGGATGGACACTTCTAGTATCCATCTGCTGAATGGCAAGCAGATGAAGGCGGCCTGGAAGTGTGAGACAGTGCGTGATCCCGAGTGGACAGGAGAGAAAGGGCAGCCACTGACGCTGTGGAGACAGGTTTCACAGAGAAAGCCATGCCTCAGGTGAGTCCCAAAGGACAAGTCCCACAGTGGGAGGACAGGAGCACCCGCCATGTGTGGCTCTGCAGAGCACAGAACCTACACCCGGCTGCTCATCTCTTCCGGTAATTTCTGCCGCACATTCCTGTTCTAGAAAGGTTGAAAGGGTAAGGAATTGGAACACTGTACCCAGCACATCAGCCATCACACTCGAATGAATGCTGTCCCTGTCCGAGTCTGTGCTCTCACTGGAAAGAGGCTGGCACCTCTTTTTAGGAACCACTGGATGGCATTTCAGACCAACCGGGGCTGCAGGCCCAGTTCTACTATTTGCATGACCTTCACAAGTTACTCAGCTCCAGTGTCCATTAGCATGGGCACGACAGGGTGGGAGGGAGCAGCCGGGTCAGGCTCCAGCGGGGGACTGGGCTGGAAGCAAGCCCAAAAGAAAGTGTGAGAGGGAAGCACACCTCCCCTCCCCCAGCCCAGCGACCACCTACTCACCTGGACTGTGGCTGGCAGGTGGCTGACAGCCATTCCTTCCTTGATGAGCCCTCTCGGGGACAGGCCAAGCGCCAGGGAGGAAGGTGTAGAGCTTTGCAGCCAGGGGGCTCCTGGGACTGGCAATGCCTACACACCTGTTGGGAGGGGAGGGCAGGGTCTAAGCTATCACACATGGCCGGGGCAGGTTGTGAGCACCACACCTGACAGTCCCCCCAACCCCGCCCCCCAGGGCGTGGCTGCTCAGCTCTTTGTCCCTACTGATCCCTGACTCTAGGAGTACTCTGCCAGCCACCACTGCCCACCATGCCACTACTGCCCCACTCCCTCTAGCTGGTCCTCCATGTCTTCCCTTCCATACCTCAAGTACAAGGACATCTTGGAGAAAGGCTTGCTCCATTCCCACCCACCCTCTGGCCTTTTCCCTTAGGCTATCTTGAGGAATCCCAAGAACCCCTTCTCCTCTAGGAACAGAGAATAGATCCTTGGAGGGGAGTGGAGGGACAGAAGGGCCATCATTTCTCCTCCAAAAGGAGGCCAGGGCACCAGTGTTGTGACATAGTGGGGGAAGCCGCTGGCTGCAACAGGGACATCGCATATGAGTGCTGGTTAGGGTCCTGGCTACTCAGCCCCTCATCCAGCTCCCTTAGCTAATGGTCTGGGAAAAGCAGCACAAACATGGCCCGAGTACTTGGGCCCCCTGCACTCAGGTGGGAGAGACCAGGAGTTCCCGGCCATTCCTGGCCCAGCCCCCGCCTTGCGGCCATCTGGGGAGTGAATCAGTGGGAGAAGACCTCTCTTGCGCTGTCTCTCTCGCTCTCCTTCTGTGACTCTTTCAAGTAAATGAAACTTTTTTTTCAAACGCCATCTACGCGGACCGCATCTGCAGTACTTAAAACTCCCGGCCTCAGGTATCTCGCTTCCTAGGGCTCGGTTTGGACGACCTGCCGGCTAAAGTGCAAACAAGCAGGCTAATTGAGTTTCTGGCGGGCAGGGATTAGGAATCCTCTTCGCACAACCCCGCACCCCGGCCTCTGCGCTTTGCTGGGCCCTCCGGAGCTGCTGCCGGCTGCACTGCTCTGGCCTCGGCGAGTTCCCCACACAGGACTCCAACCTCGCCGGAGTGCACACGGGATCCCAGAGTCCGCCCCACGACGCTCCGCCGCGGCCTGCCATCCTCCTCCACACGCGCTCAAATTCGGACCCGCAAAGCAAGACACCCACCTCTGGCCGCCCTCCCAACTCCCTTTCTGTTTGCAGTCGAATCTCACAGACACATTCCGGGAAGTTTGCGGCACTCGATGGGCATCCTCCAGAACGGATCACGACCCGGATCTCTTTGGCTCCATCCCTCCCACCCCACCCAGTCCCGTCTCCTGAGGCCCGACCACCCCACGGCCGCTCCCACTCTCCCCCCTGCGGCTCTGGCCCTCGCGCCTGGTCACCACCGAGCTGCCCTTCGCGGAGCCTCCGCCGGCGGCGAGAGATTGCAACCACCACATCGCACTCAGACACAATGAGCTGAAGTCTGCAGCCCGCATCTGAACTGCGCTTGCGCGTTGCCTTGGGATCCGCCGAGCCAAAATCCCAGAAGTCCGCGGGCTGCGGCACTGCTACTTCCAAGACTCTACTGCCCAAAGGGAGCGGCGGCGGCGCGGAGGCGGTGTGCGCCTGCGCAGACGGGCCCCGCCCCGACGGCTCTGGGTGTTGGACTACACTTCCCAGGGGCCTCAGCGCGGGAGTGTGGCTGTCTCTTGCTCGCTAATCCCCGCGCTAGTATTGGGTTCATTTCTGTTGGGATTTGGGCTAGGTCTCCGCCCCCGTAACTACAGCCCAGGAAAAGTGGGCGGTGGGATAAGGAAGGTTACTCCAGGGCGGCAGGGGACGAGAGCGGATTGGGAAGCGCCCTGGGGACAGAACAGGAGGCGACAAGCGGAAAAGGCGCTTTCCTGAGAACAGCGCCGAGAAATGAAAAGCTGGCGGAGTGCGCCCTTGGCCGGACTGTTGCAGCGTGGTCCGGCGGTCGGCCCCGGCGCGGTCCCAGACGCGATAATAACTACCATTTGCGGGTTCGGGGTGGACAGGAGAGAGCTGAGTGGTGGCCGCCGGGGACCGAGCTTGGTGCCTGGGGAAGGAGGTGGGGTAGACCCAGGACTCAGTCACTGCCCACAGGGTGAAGGGAGGAAAGGGCTGGGTGCCAAGGACCCCGCCTCGAGTGGTGTTTGGAGAAGGCGGCCTGCGAGATCTTGTGGCCCTGTCTTGGATGAGGTAACGTATAGGAGTGTTCCACTGCAGATACTTAGTTGCCTTCAAACTTGTTTTTGTGGAGCTCAGAAGGAAAGATGGGAGGATTCTAACTTTGTCGGTGATGAAAAAAAAAGTGGGGAACGTGACCTGAGGCTAGTCACTACAGTGTCAGTGACTGTGTATAGGGCACTACAGCATTCCGTTTGGAATTTTATTGAGGGCTTCTGCAGACACTTAAGGGGCACGTCTGTGTCAGACCCTGTTCTAGGGGCTGGAGAACAGCAGTGAAAACCCTGCAGTCCTGCAGGCTTCATTTCAGTAGGAGAAGTAATCATTCAAGCAAATGAGTATTTACATAGGCGGGGTGTAATGGGAGGAATTTTAAGTAGCATTTTGGGGAGTTCTTCTGTTTCCAGAGGTAACATCTGAATAGAGTTGAACACAATGAGGAATGCCTAAAGTTAGAGCTGTCTAAGGGGGAGGGGACAGGAATGCATCCAGAGAGAAGTGTGCTCCTGAGCGTGAGGCTTAGGCCAATGGGAGTGGCCAGGGCATAGTGAACCAGGGAGAAGGCAAGGTGAGGTCAGAGGGAGGGGTAACTAGAGGCCTTGAAGGCCATACAGGAGCTTTGGGTTCATTCTGTGTGTGATGGGAAACCACCCAGGCCAAACCATAGCACGGCTGGGCACAAGTTCATAGGATGACTGTCAGCTGGGGTGGAAACCAGGTTGAAGGCTGTTCCAGTAGTCAGGGTGAGGGCTGCCTTTTGCAATGATGCAAACTTTTTTTTAAAGGAATTATTTATTTATTTCAAAGTCAGAGCTACAGATAGGGAGATGCACACACAGTCTTCCATCCACTGGTTTGTTTCCCAGATGGTCACAACAGCCAGGGCTGGACCAGGCCAAAGCCAGGAGCCAGGAGCTTCTTCCAGATCTCCCAATTGGGTGGCAGTGGCCCTATACATTTGGGTCATGTTCTGCTGCTTTTCCCAGGCCATTAGTAGGAAGCTGGATCAGAAGTGGAGCAGCCAGGACACGAACCAGCACTTGTATGGGATGCCAGCACTGCAAGTGGCAGCCTTACCCACTACACCACAATGCCAGCCCCGGATGTAACTTCCTACAAGGGATTTGCACTTTAAGAGCCTGGAGATTCTAAGATAATGAAGGGTTCTGGATGTCATATTCTGTTTTTGGGCATAAAAGATTACAGTCATATATTTCTTGAGTACTAATCACATCTGAGGCACTTTTCCAAGTACTTTGCATTGTTACCTGACACAAGCCAAGCTCTGAGGTTTGCACTATTAACAAATGAGAAGACCAAGGCACTTACATGTCGAATGCCTGGCCCAAGAGCCCACATCTAAGGAGTGGAACTAGGAGTCCTTGCTTTAGCTGATGGGGGAAAGGTGCAAAGGAGACCTCATTGCTCGTTGCCCACAGTGGCTGAGAGCTCCCATTCAAGGGCCCAAGTCTTCCAAAACTCCTGAAAAAAAGCAATGAACCCTCCATTATCTGACCCATTTCTCCTGACTCTGCTGTAGTCTGGTAAGAGGTAAGCTTCCAAACGCAGCTTAAAAGAGAAAAAAATGGGGGGGGAGGGCTAAAACTAAAGAGAAGCAGTATATCCTCTTGCCAGGATTTACACACTAACCTTATTTATTGTTTTGAACATTCACCAGAGCATCCTTCCCACCCCCACCCCCACCCCCAAACACACACAAAAGGATTCTCACTGGACACCCCCGTCCTCAGAAAGTGGTTACGTTATCGTCTGCAGAACCTTTCCTGTCTGCTATACTAACTATGGATATGCAGACACTCACTTAACATTTGCCGGGGACCTCATCACCAGTGTGCTTCAACACTCTTCCTCAGGATACAGGCTGCTGCTTACTAGTTCCTGAGTTCACTTGCTGAGCCCTGCTAGAAGCCCCTTGCACTATGAGACAACAGGATCTTCCTTTAGCTTCATTTCTGGTTACTTCTTGACTTCTACTGGATGTTCAAGTCATAGACCTCTTACAGTCCCCAAAATGTGTGAAGCCTTCTTGCCACTATGGCTGCTCTTCCCCGCTGCCCAACTTCCCCTTCCCGATCAGCCTATTTCCTCCCCTGCACTCAACTGGTTCACTCCCATGGCACGCTGTGCCAGGAACTGCCTGACAGCTACACCAGGGATCATTTATCCTGGAGTTCATAGAAGCTGACTGTCGCTCCCCCTCTTCGTGGAGGAACGACACAGGACCCTGCGCTGTTCTTTTGTCTGCTTGGCCCTTCCCGGGTTTGCTGCTGGTTCTTCCCGGGTTGGCTACCGTCCCTTCCACCTCCGTGAAAGGGTGGTTCCCCCTGCCACTTTCCCCACTTCCGCGGGGGAGCGGCATACCGCCGGCCGGCTCTCTCGAGGGCTGCACAGGTGTTCCTTCAGATAGATGTTCCTGGTGCATGTTGTCTCTCTCCTCCTTTATAGTCCTCTTCCACCAATCCCAACTCTGCTACCCACACGCCAAGTATGCTGCTCTCCTCCAATCAGGAGCAGGTCCTACAGTTTATTGGTTGAACTGGAGGCAGCTGTGTAGAAGCTGTTTCCTCCTCTCCCAGCACCATATTGTGGGAAAGCAGATGCATAGAATAAGTCTTAATTCCAGTAACTTAGTCTAGTCCGAGTTGCTCCCAGTTGCTCCCCACAGCTGACCTATGCTAGGAGCTCAGTGTTAGTCACAGGAATGAACTACACTGTCATCACTCAGACAGGCAGCACAAGGGATGCACTCAGCAGTCTGCCAACTGTGTGCAGGCACTGAATTATACCAATGTATATGTAGACAGGGGGTAACCTATTCAACTATGACCTAACCATTCATCATTTTTTTTTTCATAGTCCCTTCGCTTCTAGATGTGTTGTGATTTTTTTTTTCAGGATCCAAGTACAGTCCCTGTGAACAGCCATGTGTTGGGGACTGCATACAATCTAGGAGAGGGGTTCTGGCACCATGTTCTAGAACTCCACCACTTAGGTTGGTAACCTCTGGAAGTGCCTAGATATCGATTTCACAGAGCACAAGTACAGGAAGTGACCCCATCTGTCTTCTGAGTGATGACCCAGCTGTAGGAAATATGCCTCAAACACCCCATTGTGGGTAGTTCTAGAGGGCCCTGTTTCTTGCTGTTCCAGAAGTCATCCAGCTGCACCTTAATTCCTCTTAGTTCTGACTTCCCTACCATGAGCTCCTTTACAGCTCTTCATCCCCAGCAACTCCTGAGCAGGTGCTCAGTGAGGACCTAGTGATGTACTGCTCATACCTATCACTACTTATGGCCATGGGCCCAAGTGCATGGACAGAGACTGCACGGCAGCCCTCATCCGCACCAGCTGACTGGAAAAGGGAAGGGTCCTGGACAAAGTACCATAAGAAACCTCTCTTAAAACAATGACCTGAGCTATCCAGGCTTCTTTCATGGAATTTTCAAATTAAGAAAGAGACTTAGGGGTCAGAAGGAAGCTGAAAGGTCCCTAGGTATGAGAGTTAATGCTGACCTTTGGGTCATGTGCACATTTAACTGTAAGCAAAAGCAGCCAAGCTTCACTGAGGAGATGGACCAAGTGTCCACAGCAGCCCATGCAGTGGAAGCGGCAGGCCATGGAGAGAAGATGAGAGCACGCAGACGTCCTTGTCTCCTGATGGCTCCTTGGTGCTGCAAGGTCTGGTGACACTGCCTTTTCAGCCACAAGAAAAATAATTTTCAAATATTATAGAAACTACACTTGTACTGAGGATGGACCCCAAAATGAAGGGCATGGGCTTAACTGGAGGGTTTGATAACAAGGGTCTTCTCTCCCAGACCCATATCCTCTGAATATCCTGTCCAGGTATCTCCCAAGTAAACAGCCCCCTTTACCTCATTTGCATTATAGAGGCAAGTCACCAACACTGAGCTAAGTACTCTTCTGCACACATACCCCCACCATAAACATACATACTCTTCACTCTGTGCCTATCCTGGAGCTCCCTGACTACACTGAAATAGAAACCAGTGGAGTTCAAACTGGTAGGGAAGAAGAGAGAGTGAAACACTAAACTAACTGGATCCTCAGCAGTCAGACTGTTAACAAGACCTCTCCATTATATATATAAGTCTCCTTTTTCCTTTCTCATATTTTTGTTCACCTGATGTCAACAGGAAGAATTAAAGGGAAAGGAGAAAGCAGAGAAGGTATGCGTAGAAGTAGATGAAAATGACAGCAGCAAAATAAAGGCTCAAAGGGAAGGCACAGGACAAGGAGGAGAGAAATAAAGGACGTTGAAGCTAAGGAGAGGGGCAGTGACTCAAAACCAGTCAAGTACGAACCCTGAGACGGCCCTGGGGAATCAAACAGCCCCAGACAGACTTTGGATTGCCTAAGGTCCAAACAAGGGCACTTCCTCCACAACTTCCTCCCATGATTTCTTCATCTCTACCTCTCCAAGAGGAAAGTTTCCTTCCTACTGTTGACAAAGATTCCCGCCACTCCCAGCGTGGATCATATGAGCTGTACACTTCCTGCTTGCTGCACTTCCCTACTCTCCCGCGACTCTTCAATCATAAACACGCTCAGTGCCATCTTAAATCAAACAAACATTCCTTGGCAGACCATCAGCTGCCTAAAGCAATGCCATTCTCAAACTCACTTTTCTTTGCTCACCTCCACTATGGAGTTGGGAAGGGCTAAATACTTCTTTTCCCAGCCTCTCTTGTTGGTAGGGGTTGCATGTAATAGCTGTGGTCCATGAGGTGAAAGCAGGAGTCCCAGGGGCTTCTGGAAAAACTGATTCTGATAAAAGGCCAGATGCTGCTGGTGCTATGCATCATATCTGGACTGGAAGTATTTTACTTGGTCATAGTTGCCATCAAATGATCATGACAGAAACCCCATGACACGCAAGACTACTGAATTATTTTGCCTACCAACAAATGCCAATCACACCCAGATTTGTTATATGAGAAAAATAAATCCCCATTTGTCAGAGCATAGTTGATGAGGTTTTCCATTAATTGTAGCCAAAAGGGGATCTGATATGCTCTTTCTCAACCTTTCCCAATCACCTCTAGTTGATCTATCTAAATATCTCCCATCTCAGGAAAGCTGCTAAGTCCTTTTCACCCTTTAACTCACTCTCCAACCCACTACAATTTACTGTAGTTTTAAAGCATCTTCCTTTATCCTCTATAGCACTTGGATAGATTAACTATTCCCTATGGGCCAACATTGTTGTACAGCAGGTTCCTCCACTTCTGATCCAGCTTCCTGCTAATTTACCTGAGAAACAAGCAGAAGACTGCCAAGTACTTGGATCTTTGCCATCCATGTAGACCCTGATGGAGTTCCTGGCTCCTTGCTCCAGCCTAGCCCAGTCCCAGCTGTTGTGGCCACTGGGGGACTGAACCAACAAATGGAAGATCTCTCTTTCCTCCCACCTTGTTTTACCTTTCAAATAAATAAATCTTAAAAAAAAAATAAGCAGAAGTATTCCCATCCCTGTGCTAAAGTCCTCTTTTTACTTCTGTGGCACCTTCACCTCCTGATTTTTGTTTCTGTTTTTTCTTTGGCAGTTTATTCCCCTCAGCATCTACTGCTTCCTTTCCTCCACTTAACCCATCCATGACAGTACCAATTTAAACTGCAATCTTAAACTGCTCTCATTGTGCCCAATCTAGAAAATATCCCTGACGATTTTGAGTGGGCTTTGGGTTGCAAAGACTTTGTTAATATCCAAATTTCCACCTCCATTAATATTCAATCCCTTCCCTTCTTCCTTCTACTTTTGACAGTCAGAATATGACACAAAGATATGCATTTATTTGATTCCTGCGTAACTAGACTATATTTAAGTTAATTGTTTTGTAAATAATCAGCTTATTATTTAACAGTTTAATGACTACTGGGAACTCAAAACAGCATGCCGTTGCATTAAGGTCTGTACAATTATTTCATCACCTAGGAGGAATCAGCATATGTTAGGAAAGAAAATAATGCAGGGGGAGGGGAAGGAGATGGACGAGGAGTTGGTAGAGGTAGAGAAATCTGCTCCAAAACATCCAGGGAAAACAGACTGTGGAACAGAAGCATCTGGATAACATATACATGGGTAAAAGATCAAGGACTTCTCAGCGTTGTTGCTATACGTTTGTAGCATGTTGACTAATAGGGATCCTAGTGATCTTGTAAGTCCAAACTCCCTAATTCACCAGGTAAGTAGACCATGACCTGGAGAACGTGGGTGACTTGTCCAAGCGAGTAGTAGCTCAGGACTACACACCAGGTCTTTGGACAATCAAGTTAAACTTTCTGACATTTCCTCTCCAGATATCCAGAGAAGAATCTGCAGTATGATACCACAGGACTTATTTTCAGCATCAGTCTTCACGTTTAGAGTGTTAGCCACTTAAACCTTCTGAAACATAATCCATTGTTACCTTCTGAATCAAAATTTCTCCACTTTGACATGGTTTCTCTGCCCTGGTCTGTATCATCAATATGGTATATGATACCTTAACTAAAAGATTCTCATCATCAAAACCAATTCTCATCATGGTTTCTCAATTACATAACTTACTTAATTATAACTGAAGAGTCAATCACAATGAAGTGACTAACGGAAACTTTCCTCACGTGTGGGTTCTCTGATGTCGTGTAAGATTCGTACTCCGACTGAAGGCCTTCCCACATTCACTACACTGATAGGGTTTCTCTCCTGTGTGAGTTCTCTGGTGTACTGTAAGAGATGAATTTTTAATGAAGGCTTTTCCACACTGACCACATTCATAGGGTTTCTCACCAGTATGGATTCTCTGATGTTCAATAAGGTATGCACTCTGGCTGAAGGCCTTCCCACATTCACTGCATTCATACGGCTTCTCTCCAGTGTGAATAACCTGATGTACAGTAAGGGACGATCGTCCAGTGAAATGTTTTCCACACACCACACACTCATAAGGTTTCTCTCCAGTGTGGATCCTCCGATGCTGAGTAAGAGATGAATTCTTACTGAAAGCTTTTCCACACTGATTACATTCAAAAGGCTTAACTCCAGAATGAAGTCTCTGATGTTCTATAAGGTATGTACTTTGGCTGAAGGATTTCCCACATTTGTTACATTTGTAGGGTTTTTCTCCAGTGTGATTTCGCAGGTGTAGGGTAAGAGTTGAGCTCTTACTAAAGGCTTTTCCACATTCACTACACTCATAGGGTCTTTCTCCAGTATGACTTCTCTGGTGGACAATAAGGTGCATGCTTTGACTAAAGGCTTTCCCGCATTCCTTACATTCATAGGGTTTTTCTCCTGTGTGAGTTCTCTGATGCACTGTAAGATTCATGCTTTGGGTAAAAGCTTTCCCACATTCATTACACCTGTAAGGTTTCTCCCCAGTATGAATTCTTTCATGTTGAATAAGGGATGAATTTTTATGGAAGGCTTTTCCACACTCTTTACACTGGTACGGTTTCTCTCCAGTATGAGTTCTTTGATGCACAGTAAGATTCATGCTCTGACTGAAGGCTTTTCCACATTCATTACATTTGTAGGGTTTCTCTCCAGTATGAATTCTTTGATGTACAGTGAGGGAAGAGCGTTCGATGAAGTGCTTCCCACAAACATTACACTTATAGGGCTTCTCCCCAGTATGAATCCGCTGGTGCTTAAGAAGGGATGAGCTCTGGTTAAAGGTTTTCCCACATTCATTACATTCATAGATTTTCTTCCCTACAAACATTCTTTGAGTTTTAATTAACTCAGAATTTTTCTTAGTGTCCTTTCCGTGTGAATTCCAATTATGAGGTCTCTTTGCCATAGCAATGCTTTGTTGTATATTGATGACTGAACCCTGACTGCAGAACATCTTTCAAATTCATTACCTCCAAATACTCTCAATGAGGGTTTCCTTATGGCTAACTGCTACTTGGCCTGGACGTCTTTCCTGGATTTCCTGTTGCCACTCTACCCAATTTTCAGGTTCCTGGGAATGTTAATTAATGTTAATTAATGTTAAATTAATTAAAGTAGAATGCCAGACACCATCCCTTTCCATCACCCCACAGGATAAATCTTCAGTAGTGCCAGGCTTTGGAGTTGGCTCTTTGGTTTCAAGGCTTGTCTCCCAGCCTGAAAATAAATAAATAGATAATTAAAAATTCAAATGCACACTGGTTTCCGTGCTGGGAGACTGACAACTGTGTACAGTGGAATTGAGAAAATGAAACTACAATTACTGGGAACATTGGAGAGTTTTCAAAAATGTTATCACAGTTAGGCAAGAACAGTGACCTGGTCCAGAAGGAGATGATGGCAGATCCACTGGGTAAGCAGAAAAGATGAACTCATCTGGAAAGGATGGACATTGAAACCACTGAGCACTGGACCATGCTAATAAATGACAGAACCAAGAAAACACACACAGAAAGGCAAGGGCTGCACAGGCCCATCAGAAAGCCCTGCCACACTGCACCTGGTATTGCCCCCAGCAGTTTCTTACCTCTATGATTCTACACCAAATTAATCTTCATGAAACACAATAGTGTGACGTAGTAAAAGATTGTTGGCACAAGAGTCAAACAGATGGGTTCAAACCCTGGATTTATCACCATCTTAACTAGTTACTTGTCTCTATGGGTCTGAGTTTTCAGAGACACAAAATAAGAATAAAAATAATCTGATAAGGAGTAACATGATGTACATAAAATACTCTTAGGGGACATACTCATTTGGAACAGGAAGTACTAGAACATACTTAATACTTAAACTCTTGAGGAGGATGACACACTCTAAAAGCTTGCTCTCCTTGAACCTTAGGCAAGCTGTAATGTTCTTAGGTATAAGATGATCTGAAAAGGTCCTACCCTTTCCTAACTATCCTGCCGTAAAGATGAGAACTGGTGGTGGTGTAGAGCAAGGAGGAAGGGCTGAGCTTTTGAGAGGGGGCTGTAGGCTGCAGGGAGCACCTTCCAGTCACTCAGACTTGTATTCCCAGATGCCACTGCTTTACAAACATTTTTTTCATTTTAATGTTTAATTAGTTTTGAACAGATTCAGTGTGCTTTGTATGTACAGTTCTAAGAATATAACCATATTCCTTTCCACATTTTCTCCCCCTCTCTATCCAACCTTCTTCCTTCTCCCCTTTTTTTTTTAGTTTTTGAGATAACATATTTTAAAATTGCATTGCAGTTAAAGAGGATCAATACTTCACTGAACAAAAAGTTTTAAAAATAAAAAGCAACAGGACCCTAGTTTAGTGGGAATATAGACAATGGCTACAAACAATAACTGAATGGAAAAATGACCATTTTACCCATATACAGTAAATTTTAAAGTAATCATTACTTTAAAGGTCATTAAAACTATAGTATAACATTCTGCTTTTTTAAAGATTTTATTTATTTTCTTCAGAGGTAGAGTTACAGACAGAGGGAGAGACAGAGAGAGAGGCCTTCCATTCGCTGGTTCACTCCCTTGTTGGTTCACTCTCCTAATGGCCGTGACGGCTGGAGCTGGGCTGATCCAAAGCAAGGAGCTGGGAGCTTCTTCCAGTTCTTCCACATGGGTAGCAGGGGCCCAAGCACTTGGGCCATAATCTGCTGCTTTTCCAGCCCATAAGATGAGAGCTGAGTCAGAAAAGGAGTAGCCAGGACACAAACTGGTATCCATATGGGATGCCAGTGCTGCAAGCATAGGTTTAACCTACTAAGCCACAGCACCAGCCCAGTAGTATAACATTCTTAACCACTAGTTTTACAAAGGTATAAAATAGGGGATGGGACTGTGGCACCAGCAAACTATATGGGCGTGATCCAAGTCCCAGCTGCTCCACTTCTGATCCAGCTCCCTGCTGATGCACTTGGGAAAACAGCAGAAGATGGACCAAGCTCCTGCCCCTGGCTTCAAATCAGTACACTTCTGGCAGTTGCAGTCATTTGGGAATTATACCAGCAGATGGAAGATCACTCTCTCTCTCTCTCCTCTCTCTGTAACTCTACCTCTGAAATAAATAAATAAATCTTTTTTAAGTTTTATACTTTAAAAAAGTTAAAGTATATTTTAAAAAGTATAAAACAAAGGTTTACAAAACTATATTTGAGGCAATACTGATACATATAAACTTCCTTCCTCCCTCCCTCCCTTCCTTCCTTTTCTTTAATTTTAGTTCTCACATATACGGTAAAATATGCACATTTGTATTTCTGGGTCCGGCTTATTTCACTCAACATGATGTCCTCCATTTGTGTCCATTTTGCTGCATATGCTAGAATTTCATTCCTTTTTGTAGCTGAATAATATTCCATTGTGTATATATACCACATTTTCTTTGCCTATTCATCTGATGATGGACACCTTGGTTGATTCCAAATTTTGGCTACTGTGAACAGTGCTGCTGTGAACATGGTGGTGCAGGTCTCTCTTGGATACACTGTGTTCAAGTTTTTGGGTATATACCCAGAAGTGGGATTGCTGGATTTCATGGCAAATCTATTTCTAATTTTTAAAGAAATCTTCAGTTTTCCACAGTTGCTGTAACATTCCCACCAACAGTGTAGAAATGTTCCCCTTTGTCAAATCCCATTTCTTATCCCAGATAAAATGGCCTGGAGGCAACAAGGGGCAGAGAAAGAGGAACTACAGTCTCAGATTCAGCTTTATGACTGACGGTCAAAGTCAACGCAGCAGAGATCAACACTGAAACAGTGAACCGAAGGCCTATGAGCACAGGCCTTACTGTGCAGCAAGAGGTCTGCATTAACCAGGCCTCTGCCTTCCATCCTGCCCTGCTTACAGCAAAGGGGAGAAAAAGAATACGAGCAGCCGCCATCTCCCAAACACAGTCACCACCAAGTAACCAGAGAGAGAGAGAGACAGGACCCATCCAACCGATTATGAAAAAAATCAGCAGGTAACATAAGAATTGGATGGCCCAAGTACTTGGGCACCTGCACCCGCGTGGGAGACCAAGAGGGGCACCTGGCTCCTGGCTTCAGATTGGTGTAGCTCTGGCTGTAGCGGCCATTTGGGGGGTGAACCAATGGAGGAAAGACCTCTCTCTCTCTGTCTCTCTCTCTCACTGTCTAACTCTGCCTGTCAAATAAAAAAAAAAGAACAAATGATATTGGTAAATATTCAAATAAAGTAGTGGAATTAACATAACTTATTATGCAAAAGCTAATATCCAAAAATAGACAAACATGGACTTCATCAAAATTAAAAACTTCTGTATATCAAAGGATACAATCAACACAATTAAAAGGCAACCATGTGGTGGGAGAAAAAATTGCAAATCAAAGTATCTGAGATATCTGATATATCCAGGAACTCCGATCCAGAATATATGAAGCACTCATACAATTTAACATGAAAAAACAAACAACTTGTTTGAAAACAAGCAAAGAACTAGATAGATATTTCTTGAGAAAGTATACAGATGAGCAGAAAGCATATAAAAGATGATCAACATCAACCATCACTAAATAAATGCAAATCAAAACCACAAGATGACCACACCCATTGCCGGGATGGCCACTATTAAAACACAGAAACTGGAGCCAGTGCTATACCACAGTGGGTTAAAGCCTGCAGTGCCAGCATCCCATATGGGTGCTAGGTCAAGTCCCAGCTGCTCCACTTCTGATCCTGCTCCCTGCTAATGAGCCTGGGAAAGCAGTGGAGGATGGTCCAAGTCCTTGGGCCCCTGCACACATGTGGGAGACCCAGAAGAAGCTCCCGGTTCCTGGTTTTGGCCTGGCCCACCCCAGTCATTGTGGCCATTTGGTTGGTGAACAAGAACATGAAAGGTCTCTGTCTCTTCTGCTCTCTCTCTAATGCGGCCTTTCAAATGAATAACTAACTTGTTAAAACAAAAAACACAGAAATATTGTCATCACTACAAAAGAAGGTGAAGAAAAAAAATCCCCCAGTAAAAGCACAAAGGAAATCTAAAGTAAAAAATAGGAAAAATGGTAGGACAAAATCGTAACTTATCAATAGTCAACTTGAATATAAACAGCCTCAACTCTCCAGTTAAAAGACATAGAATGGTGGAATGGATTAAAAAATAAAACCTATCTATTTGCTGCCTAAAAGAAGCACATTTCATCAACAAAGATGTACACAGAATGAAAGTAAAAGGATGGAAAAAGATACTCCATGCCAACAGAAACCAAAAAATAGCTGGTGTAGCCATCCTAATATCAGACAAAATACACTTTAGCACAAAAACTTTTAAAAGAGGCAAAGAAAGGCACTATGTAATGATTAAAGGATCAATTCAACAGGAGGATGCAACTACTGTAAACTTATATGCACCTAATTAATTACAGGGCACCTGAGTATTTAAAAGAAATGTTAAGGATCTAAAGAGAGACATAGACTTAAATACAATAGTAATGGGGGACTACAATACCCAACTTTCAGCAATGGACAGATCATCCAGACAGAAAATCAGCAAGGAAACAACAGAATTAATGAACACTATAGAAGATGGACCTAACAGATATCTACAGGGCTTTTCATCCTACAGCCACAGAATACACATTTTTTTTCATCAGTGCATGGAACTTTCTCTAGGATTGACCACATGCTAGGCCATAAAGCAAGTCTCAGCAAATTCAAAATAATCAAATCATACCATGCATCATCTCACACCACAATGGAATGAAGCTGGAAATCAGCAACTCAGGAATCTCTAGCATACATGCAAACGCGTGGAGACTGAACAACATGTTCCTGAATGAACAGTGGGTGATTGAAGAAATCAAAAGAAAATAAAAAATTTTCTGGAAACAAATGGAGAAGACCACACAACATACCAAAACTTATGGGATACAGCAAAAGCAGTGTTAAGAGCAAGTTTAGGCCAGCGCCACAGCTCAATAGGCTAATCCTCCGCCTGCACCACTGGCACACCTGGTTCTAGTCCCGGTTGGGGTGCCGGATTCTGTCCCAGTTGCCCCTCTTCCAGGCCAGCTCTCTGCTGTGGCCCGGGAATGCAGTGGAGGATGGCCCAAATCCTTGGGCCCTGCACCCACATGGGAGACCAGGAGAAGCACCTGGTTCCTGGCTTCAGATCAGCACGGTGCGCCGGCCACAGTGCACCAGCCACAGCGCACTGGCTGCAG